CTTTGTAGGAACAATGGAGGTGTTTATAATAGTTGAAATATAAGATACAATCATAGGTACAGCATCTTTGAAGAATTGTGGACAGACAAAAATACAATAATAAAGAAAGACAAATGTAATCCGGGCAAAAGATCCTGACGGAGATTTTTAAAGAAATTTTTTATAATTTGTGAAAGGAGGGGAAGGCGTGTTCAAAACCTAGTTAGATAATTAGTTTTATTCAGGTTTTACTTCACGGACTCCCTTTTCTACCAAGGGTTAGGATGGTTGCCTCGCTCATTTTTAGGAAATAATAATGCTAACAAAAGACTACAACATAGACATCCTCTGTGTAAGTGAAACTTGGCTTCCTTCTACAACTGAAAATAAATATGTGAATATCCCAGAGTTTAAAATATTTCGCAATGACCATGGCCGAGGGGGTGGGGTCTGTATTTATGTTAGAAATTATCTAAGTGCATCAGAAATAACCACAGGTTTAGAAAAAACTGAGGAGCTCGAAGATTTATGGATCACTGTGCAGTATCAGAAACTTCCATCTTTCATTGTAGGGTGTGTTTACCGTCACCCTAAAGCACCTACCAGTTAATTCAGTCATCTGCTAGAAACATTCAGAAATATCTGTGTGCGCCATAAACCCATATACATACTTGATGACTTTAATGATGACTTGCTCTCAGCAGATAACAAAATGAAAAGGGTAATCAACACTGTGAAGTTAACACAAATAGTGACAAAACCGACCTGCATAACCCCTAATTCTAGGACTCTTATAGATCTGATAATAACAAATAAAGTGGAAAGCGTACCCTATTGGGACATAGTTCCCTGCCCAATTGCAGACCACGAGCTGAACATTGCTATGCTAAACATAAACAAGCCGAAAAGGAAGCCTCTCTTCACGACATTCCGGTGTCTCAAAAATTACTCTCCTGATATCTTTTGTGAAACATTAATCAACAACACAAATGCACTTAATAGAATTAAATACACAGATAACGTTGATTTGCAGGTTGAGATTCTAACAAAAGTCTTCCTTGAATGCTTAGATAGTTGTGCACCCATTGTAACAAGAAATATAACCCACCCCTCAGCCCCCTGACTAACTAATGACATCAAAGAGGCAATGCAAATTAAAAATCAAATACAAAAAGAGCTAAAAATGAATAGATATGATATGACTCTCCGAGAACGTTATAAAACAGAAAATAAACGTGTCAGATTTCTCATCAGTGTAAGTAAAAAAGACTTTTACAAAAAACAATTTAATGACTCTAGACATGATACAGCAGTAGCATGGAAAGTGATAAGAAGCATGATACCAAATGAAAAGAGTACCTCAGAAAGTTATGAAAATAGTACGGAATTGAAAGACAAAGCGGAAAACTTTAATAACGATTTTGCTAACGTTGGCAAAAATACATATGAAAAAACTCAAGAAAACATCAACTCAGTGAATATGAGTAATTGCTTAAATGACAATTCTTCCAATGTAAACACAAGTGAGTACTTCAAGATAAATCCTATCGATTGTGCTACCCTAATTCTTACCATAAAGAGCCTAAGAAACTCTGGCTCTTATGGTTCAGATGGTATACCATTTCAGTTCATCAAAGATGCTCTACCCATGATTCCATCCTATATTCTAACTATTATGAACACTTCCATTGTTACTAAAAAGCTTCCTGAGTCTTGGAAAATATTACATGTAATACCTCTGCATAAAAAGGGGGACAGAGAAGATGTGACAAACTATCGTCCCATTTCCCCGCTACCCATTTTCTTTAAAATATTAGAAAAAATTGTTGCATACCAACTTATGTCCTATTTAGAGTTAAATAGACTATTAACGTTTAACCAGCATGGTTTCAGACCGAAACTCTCAACGGAAACTGCACTGCTTGAAATTACGAATAGTATCTATAATAATATAGATATGAAAAAGATATCTCTGCCTGTATTATTGGACTTATCAAAATCCTGCGACAGTGTAAACCATGAAATTCTTTTAAGTAAATGTACTACCTTAAATATTGATCCAAGCTGGTTTAGCGAGTATCTATCTAATCGTAAACAGTCTATATGTCTTAACAACATTATCTCTGTGCCAAAAAATTTATCATTTGGTGTTCCACAGGGATCAGTACTTGGTCCTATTCTCTTCTCCATTTATGTAAATGATCTATCTTCTTTCATTTCTGACTGTCTGGTCGTACAATATGCAGATGACACTCAACTACTCCTTAGTGGTGATATTAATAATCTCACAAAGCTAACTTTAAGAGCAGAAAACACTCTATCAAAAATTAAAAAATATTTTCAAGAATTTGGGCTGTTAATTAACGAAAGTAAAACACAGTGCATATTTATTGGTTCAAGGTTCCACATAGCACAAATTCCAGAAAACACAACAATTAATTTTTGCGACAATATTATCACACCTAGCAAAACAGTCAAAAACCTAGGAATTCTCTTTGATAACCACATGTTGTTTGATTCC